ATGGTTTACTAGACTAAATTTTGAGATAAATGCAATTTTTGCAAAGCGAACATTTGTTTTGAATTTCTTTACGTTACACCTGATCCTGATCTTTGATTGGCTGATATGCGTCAGAAAATCATGTGACAGTAAAATCGATCCTACGCCCTGGCGTTGTTCCCGATACCCGACTCGGAAAAATTACCAACTGGGCCGTGTTTTTGACAAACTGGTTTATAGCTGTTATCATAATAAGGTATATACGTACGTAGCTGTACGACGTTGTCGCACCAAAACCAGGAATGTAGGATAACGATTAGTATATTATAAACCTTTTTGATTAGATATACAATCGAAACAATCTAGAAAAAACAAAGGAATTTTTTGTACTTAATAGTTATTTAGGACTTCGTGCCAAATAACTATTCATTATGAAACAGAAGAGCATTATTAAACTATAATTTCAATTTGACCTCCCATGATTATAACATACGTAGATAATCACCTTAAATTCTCAATTCTCTCTAAGTGTAGTTCGTTGGAATCAGACATTTGGCAGCTTGCATTTAGAGAACAATTAAAAAAAATTGCATTTATAGAGAATTGAAAATTGCATTTAGAAAGAATTGATTGTATCTATTAATGATCCTGGGCTTATTATACAATTTATAATTTTAAACCAAAACTTTAGTTTACAATTTGCAGTCCAAAACATATCACAAAATCAAACAAATTTAATAAGCATTAAACCTGAATTTTCTGCTATTGAAGCATTTATACCTATCTAAAATTAAACAGTTAACAATGAAGATTTATTTAATATAGCGGATAAAGCAGTCTTATACAAAGCATTTCTAGTCACATTTAATCTATTATGCAATTTTGCGTCATTCAATAGATGACAATATTTTAGCTTCAAATATGTCAGGTTTAAGATATTTTTGAGATTCTTTTGCACACTTTGCAAAAACTTTTGATTTTGCTAAATATGTTTACAATATTGCTACAATATTGTTACAATATAATTCTAATATTACAAAAGTTATCATATGATAAATATATATTAATTATATGTTAAAAATATTATTATTATATTTTAAAAATAGTTTTATTATTCTGTTAAATCACTTTTAATTTGATGTATATTATACATTTGTAAGAGATTAATAATTTTTTGTATATGTGATTTATCACCTGTGTAATACAATATAATACATACATGATGCACATATTTGATCAAATATGATGATCACTATAATGTGTAAAAATAACCTCTTTTAACTTATTGATTAGACTTCATAACCCTATAAATATAATATAAGCTTCAAAAGGTAAGTATACTTTATTTGCACAATGAGTAATCAAACTAACATAGAAAGCTATGAACCAGAAAAAACTGCATTGATTAACGATGGTGAAAGTGAGAATGCAAGACTTTATACTGGAAAAGTATTTAAGAATTAGGAGGAATGTGACTCGTTTATAAAGGAATAAGAAAAAAGTAAAGGGTTTAATATTATTAAGGATCATGTTTATAGAGAGGATGAAATAATTAGAAAAAGAACTTACATTTACCAACATGGATGAAGTTATGACTCAACTTCCAAAAAAGAGACCAGCATTAAGAAAATATCATACAAGTGGTATGTAAATGTCTCTTTTCCTAAAATCAAGAATTCTACCTCATTTATCTTTGTTAATACGGTTGAAGATAACCACAACCATCAGCTTAGTATTGACGCTATTGAATTTGAATGTGATAAAAAATTCAGCGATAAGATGATGAAGAATATTCAATTCTTAACACAACATTGTAAAATGAAAGCTGCTGCACAAAGAAAGTACTTAGAGGGCAAATATTCAACTCACACAATATTCAATAGTGATTTGTATGCTGCAATTAAAAAGTTTTAACCTATAGCTAAATCTCTTTTAAACGATGTAGCACAAATGTCAGATTGGTTATATTTGCAAAAAGAAAAGGATCCCTGATAGTTTGTAGCAAGAGGATGGGATGATGACAATGCGCTTACTCATTTAATCTGGATAACACCAGAGCAAGTAGAGAATTAAATCCAATTTAGTGATTGCATGATTAATGATGTAACTTATAAGACAAACCGATATAGAATAGCTTTATCACTTTTTGTAGAGTTTGATCGAAATAGGCAAAATATTTTGCTTGCACAAGGTTTGCTTGCAGATAAAAGTTTAGATTCTCATGCTTGGATGTTCAGGCAAATTATAACAGCTATCAATATACAGCCTACCGTAATTCTAACTAATTCTAACTCAGCTGTTGATGCTGCGGTAAAGGAAATATTTTAAACTATATATCTGATTTACTGTGCATTTTATATTTTGCAGAATATTCATAAAAATCTTTGTAAGCAACTTGGAGATCAGTATGAAAAGTTTTTTCATGATTTTTACAATTGTAGAAATAGTCTTGCTTAGGCAACATTTCACAAATGATTTATGAAACTGTTAGAAGATTATTCAAGAAAAAAACAATATTTGGAGGTTCTTTATAGATCTAAAGAATATTGGGCATATTCATATACTGCCTTTAAATTTACTGAGGAAATGATTTCTACATCTTATGTTAAAGCTATGAACGTGTGCCTTAAAAGACTGCTATACAACTCTAATGTTTCTCTCTGTGAGCTTATGTCAGAAATGTATAGGTTACTTAATCAACAGGACAAACAGAATCAGTATCAATACTGGAAACTTGCTATACTGTTATTTAGAAACCTTGAGCATATAAATTTTTTGTTCTCAGAAGTTGATAAATGTTGTCAAAGCTTTTTGTCATCAGAAATTTTAAGTATACAATGTGATGAAACAACCAATCACTTTATTATGTTGCATATTTGGTTAGTAAAGAAGATGTACTGTTTTCTGATGATCTTAACGCAACACTCTCTAATGATGAAAATGAAAGTGTTGATGATCCACAAGCTATCATATGTCAGTTATTAGGCATTGTTGATTTTGATGATATTGATAAAATATGGGATATTAGGGTTAGAAACTCTTTAAGTCTTAAGCATTATATTATTCTTTTGAAAAATAATGCCTATTTGTGCTCATGTCTTATGATAATCTGACAAGGAATTATCTGTCAGCATTATTTCCAGGTGATGTTGAACACAAGTAAAGCCAGATTCTATATACGGCTTATTCCGTCTTGCTGGTATCAAAAAAACAAAGATGTGTCTAATGAACCTTTTATTGTTGCTGAAAAGTTCTGTGATGATTCAAGTAACTTATCACAAGAAAATTGATCTTTCAACTATTTATGTGCCATCAATAACACAAGCAATAATATTGAACAGCGAATGAATAATTTAGAGCAAAGATTTATATATGGGCATCTTCATGATGCATATAAAGTAGCTTTACAAAAAGCATTGCTATCTAAATTGAAATCACAACGTCTTATTAAAATTTTGCAAAAATTCGCTGATGAAAATGATGAATATGATGAAAAACCTTCTGATGAAGAATGTGGTCAATATGACTCTTCAAGTGATAAGGAAAACGCTGAAATTATTTTACAGAATCCAAAAAAATGACGTAATAAAGGAAGACCACTAGGCACAAAACGTTTTAAAGCATCTCATAAAAATCAAAATAACGAAAGGCCAAAAAGGAGATGCAAAAAATGTGGAAATCTAGGGCATTATCAAAAGAATTATAATGCTTAAGACTTACATTTGTGTAGCTATTTGACACAATTTATATGCTTGTTTTATGCTCTTGATTTTTTTATTTATGTATATCTTAATTGCTTGTTTTACATCTTTGATCTTATTTAATATATCTTAATTGATTGTTTTATATCTTTGATCTTTTTTATTTTAGCATATCTTAATATTAACTTAGTTGTAGCATTGTAAGAATTAAGATAATAATATGATAATTATATAGATTATTACTAAGGAAGTTGCTTTATGTACTAGCACTTGATTTAATTGATTATACTGGTTTTTACACTTTGATCTTTTATTTGACTTCTTATTTTTTGTATATCTTAATACTAACTTAGAACATTTTAACGAGGATTAGAAGTTTTTAATTTTAGGACCATGGTCCAGATATCTTTTAATTAGCTTATAACACAATAGGATTCGGTGAGATAATACTGTATGGCAGTATAAATTTAGATGAATATATGTACGTATGTATATACATATGTACAAAAATTAAATTTCAGTATGTATGGTCAGTATAATTCAATTTTTGTAAGTATCCTTTTTTTAATGGGTAGAGTTTTTATAAGATAGCTTTTGATAAACTTTTTCTTTTATAGATTGTACATACTGTTATAATTTCCGTAAATTTGTATTTCTGTACAGTATTGTTTTGTGTTAGTATAATACATACATAGATATATTCGATTATTTGAATGATTATGATGATTATAGTTAGTGTATTAAGTGGGTTTGAGTATTTAGTTATATGTAGTAGATCGCAGTATATATATACTGCAATCTACTTATATTATATTGTTACCTACTTATAGGTATACTATAACCTACTTATTTTATTGCTATCCATTTTGATCTTTAATAAGCCTAATATTTGTTTCCTTTTAATGATTCAGATGATATGTAGATCATGTTTGTATTGTCATTTCAGAGCCACTAAGACATGTGCCAACGTGATGTGTATTTTGCTTTTTTTGGCATACTTGAATGCAATATTTGTATGCTGGCTTGGTGTTTATGGCCAATTCCTATCACTGGGTTACATCAGCAAAAAAATACCAACGATGCATTTAGTTATATATCGGTCATTTGCTAGCCCAATGTTATTTATCCGAAAACATACTATCGAGACAGGTAGCTATCTCTCATATTTATTATATAATATTACTGAAGTTAGCTATCATGCAAATCACTTACTATAAAAAGAGTGTAATCTTCTATTTTCTCTACTATGTAGAGTTTTTGAAGATTACACTACCCAAACACATACCAAAAACATACCATCAAAACAGGTAGCCTTCTCCTATAATTATTATAATATATTACTGAAGCTACCATAATCATATATACAAAAAGATATCCAGAAACATACCAAAAAAATAGGTAGCCAACTTCATTTTTCTTATAATATATTACTGAAGTTAGCTACCATAATTACATACTCGAAAACATACTAATAAAATAGGTAGCTATCTTCAGTAATATATTATAATAATTACTGAAGATAGCTACTTCGAAAACATACCTGAAATATGGCATCGAATAAATGTCATAAATACATACTCGAAAACACACTTCAGGAATGGGTAGCCATCTTCCATATTTATTATATAATATTACTGAAGTTAGCTACCTCTTATAATCTATTATCAAAGTTATATACCCAAAGTAATTCACTAATCAAGACCGCAATTTTCTTCATTCATCTTACTAAAACTTGATGTATCTTTTTTTGACATCTCTTACCAGGCATGAAAAAAATTAATTTAAACTTTTCCAAACTATATTGTAATAATATAATCAAACAAAGATTGATACATACCAATAAAAAACAAAATACCAAAAATGAGTAAACAAAGTGCATAACTCGAGCAGTACAGGGGCGGGAAAACTGATGACTATTCAAGTGACTTAGATGTTTATAGTGATAATATATCCAAAAGCGGATCAGAGAATTGTAGTGACTATAGTTCTGATTATAAATCAGATAATAAAACAAATACTATTGAGTCTCTAATATTCCAACCCTCTAAAGTAGAAGAACTAATGTCTAATACAACATATTCTACAAAGCAAGTAAGTCCCACATATTTCAAAAGGCAAGAAAGATTCGATGATAAATTTATACAAAAAGATGTGATGAATAAAATCCGTGAAATCATTTCTTTACCTACTAGAGATATGCCGAACAATAAAGGTTCACTAAAAGATATACATTTATAGGACTATCTCTTACCTAATTACGGAGCAAAAGAAGGAATTAGTCTGCTTGATGTATATATATAGGGGAGTTAGCAGATAAATTAGTTATACAGGTAGAACAAGGTGAATACAAAAAATTCTCAGTTATAGATGATATCTCAGAAGTGTATAGATTACCCAGAATTTACAAATGTGTTACTAGCCAAAACCCACTAAGACCAGTAATTGATATTGATGCATCTAAAGAAAAAATAGAAGCTGAAAAGGTTAATACTAAAAATATGTTTTTCAACATTTGTTGTTCATTTGCAAGAGCATTGTATTGAATTCTTGATTGTAGTTGGGAAGAAATTATTAAAAGATTGGTGATTATGACATCATCTGATGATAGTAAATACAGTTATTACCTTCTATACACTCCAACTCTTCTTGTTGATTATCAGGAGCTTAAAGAATTTACAGAATTAGTGTATAAATTAACTAGAGAAAAATATAAAAAATTTATTGATAGAGGATTACCAGGATGGAATTTTAATTATTGTCTTATTGGTTCAACAAAAAAAGACTGTGTAAAGCACATACTCCAATTCTCGCTAGACAATAGGTGGAGCGATCTTAATGACAGCCAAGTTCAACCACCTACTAGTTTGAAATATGAAGTAAGGCCCCGTATACTTAGTATAGAAAAAATAAATAATCAGAAAAAAATAATAGTAGGCCAAGATGCGTTAAAAAAATATGCAAATCTAGTTCTGCAGAAATATTCTGATTATCTCAGAAGTTGGAATATCGAAGAAAAAAATTCTCAATATTTCATATACTTTAGCCAGAAAGTATATCTAGAATATCCACTATGCAATCGCATATACGACAAAAATCAGCGGTGGTTTGGTCGTGCATATAGTAATAAGTTATTTGTTGTGAAATGTTTTCAACAAAATAGAGATAAACGGAGATAATTTTCAATGACCCATCTATTGCAGAAAAAATCTAGCAAAAAAATAATATTCTATCACCCATTATACATAAGGTAAAGGGTCCAAAATTTCCATAGCCTTTCTTAGAAATGCCAGCTTGGGTTAATTGTGATTCCCCTCTTATTGCAACAGAAGTTTATAAAGAACAATATGTGAAACCTTTACCTAATGAAGGGGATGTATATATAGGCTCACCTTGGGAGATGGGAAAAACTTATACTTTAGAACACCTTATTATTCCCGATAGTATAAATTTGCTTGCTTTATCTATACAACATACTTTTTCTAGTACTGTCACTACAAGGCTGAATCTCAAATCATACTGTGATATCGATACTAAAGATATAAACCTCCCAGATCATCAAAGAGTAGTGTGTTAAATAGAAATTCTGCATCGCATTACTAATAAATGTAGGTCTTTAGACCATGCTCCATATAAATGCAAGAAAAAATGTAAGTGTTCTCTAATACCATATGATTTATGGCTAGATGAAGTAGTATCTGTGATTAGTCAAGCCTATACTTGATTAGCAGAGCGATTAAAAGAGCATTTATATAAGTTAATTCATGAAGCAAGGCAGATTATTGTTATGGATAATAATCTAACAGATCTCAATATAGAATGGATTAAAAGCTTTCGTAGAAATAAATCCTTCTCAGTTATCCACAACACTTACCAACTCCAAAAAGGTAAAATATTCCACTTAGCATCTAATAAAGAAACTGTATTAACTGAACTTTGGGATTGGGCAAAGCAGATGTCTTCATTATCTCCCAATAAACAAAAAAGTGCATCACTCATTTGGCATCTAAGAAAAGATATATAAAGAATCATTCGTGCTCTTAGGACTGATTTTCTTAAGTTACATATTAAAAATTATCATGGTAAATCTGATCCAGTAGAAAAGACTTGTGATTTTAGTGATGTAGAAGAAGCATGAAAAGAGGTGGATCTTGTTGTATATACTAGCACTTTAAAAATAGACATTTCTTGTATTAACTCTAAGTTTGAATGAGCATTCTGTCTCTTTAATAGTTATATAGAAACAAATGCTGTGACAAATCAGATGCTATTCCATATGAGATATATTAAAGAATATACATGCCACATCAAACAAAGATCATCAAATCTCCCAATTACCAAAGAGAGATTATTCCACTGGTTGTTAAAAGCTAAACGTGAATCTCTCTCTCAAGAGCTTCAGAATAAAGGAATATTTTCAGATGTAGAATCTATTATTTGAAATAAAAACATCCTAATAGTTCGATTGTGGGTTGCTTACATATTAGAAAAATTCTGATCTCGTTATTTATTTGGATAGAGAATGATAGATTTTCTTTAAAAGGCAGATATGGTAGTTTCTATAATAAAAGCCACTTCAAAAACTAAAGATGATACCGTGACATTAACTGAAACAGTAAAGGAGTATTCTTTGGCTATTAAAGCAGAGGAAATTTTAGATATTGCCAATGTCAATATTCTCAATCATGAAATGTTTGAATATCTAGAAAACAAGCCAAAGAAGACTTTAGAAGAAATCTATATGCTAAGCCGGTATCATATTGCAGATTGCTATAGGATGTCATCTGAATCTTTAACAGAGGAATTTATCACAGATTATGGTAAATATGATCATATGAAATGGTTCAGAAACCTCCAGAAACTATGAGATGCAAGCACTAATA